TAGAGAGCGGTTGCAGAGCCTAACAAATGAGCTCACAAGATGCTTAGTGTTTCTGAAGTCTTGTCAGTTGGTCTGACATCCACATGCCCTCAGCATCTTCCCACATCAAGGGTCTGCAATCTGAGCAGGCGTCAGGCTCACCCAGAGGGCTTGTTAAGCACCAGCTGTGAGACCGCAACCGCTCGGTCGCGTCCGACTCTTCGCCACCCATGCACTGTGGCCCGCCGGGCGCCTCCGTCCAGGGCATTTCCCAGGCAAGAATATTGGGGTGGGTTGCCATTTCCTCCTCTAGGGCATACTCCCAGCCCAGGGGTTGAACCTGCTTCAGCCACCAGCGTCTCAGAAAGGAGGTCTGGGTGGGGCGGGAAATTCCACTGCAAGTTCCCAGGTGCGGCTCTCCCTCGTCCTTAGACCTCACCTTGGCAACCGCAGACATTCATGGCGGGTCACTTTCCTCCTTCATCCGCCAGGTAAGACAGAACTGGTTTTTATAATAGAGTGTCTACGCTGGGGAGAGGGGTGTGTCATACTTTAACCCATCTTAAGAAATTCCTCTGGAGATTTATATGTCTGACTGGATGAAGCCTCCAGCAAATCAGACGAAATGGCCATTTCAGATGGTGGAGATTTAAAAACAGTTGGTGTTGATCCTGGGTCTGCATGGATTGGGATCAGTGCAAATATAATCAAGTGAGTGGGATAATTTTATTTGGGGCCAATGACGTTTATCTTGAGAAGATGCTTCCTAAGCTTTGAAAACAAAACAGAGATGTGCACCTACCGCATAGTATAGGGAACTATAATCAATGTTTTGTAACAACATATAAGGGAAAAGAATCTGGATAAATATATATATATGTGTATGCATATATATATATATGTGTGTGTGTATGTATAAGGGAGTCATTTTGCCATACACCTGAACTAACACAACATTGCAAATCAACTATACTTCAATTTAAATAAACAGAGCTTTTAGGAAGATTAGAAACTTTATTCTAATTATTTTTGACTCTATCCTTTTAGGGCATAAAGCAAGTAGTTGAGTTACTTCGATGCATAAAATACAATAAAGACCTTTATTGCAATGGCCCTAAAAGAATGTCATGTCCTGGCTTAAACGAATAAGAAAAGTCTCTTTAAGTTCGAATAAGAAAGATTCCCTTTTCTTCTATTTTCTTTGACTTTCTCTCTTTTCTCCTGCTCCTTCTTTAGTGTGAAAACACTTGGAGCTTTTCCTCAGGTCATGTGGAAGCTGTCACACAGCGGATGTCACACAGGGCACGTTACTCGGGGATCAGGGCACGTGTTTTTACTCACAGGACAGCCGTGACTGTGCTGACGTCAGGGAACCTGGTGATGAGCTCAGTACTCTTCCGGACTGATGGCAGCATCAGTGTTGTTAGAATCCGCAGTGAAAAGGCAAAGCAGGAGGCCAGGCTCCGTGTGAACGGGAGTGGGGGTTTCCTAGGCTGACCCAGAGGCTCGCTCTATTTCCGCTTTTTGTTTGTTTGTTTAATTAATTTTTACTGGAGAGTAGATGCTTTACAATGTCGGTTCCTGCCGTAGAGCAAAACCAATCAGCCGTGTCTGCTCGGTTGTGGACACTTGGACTGTAGCCCGCCAGGCTCCTCTGGTCATGGGATTCTCCAGGCAAGAATGCTAGAGGGGGCTGCCATTTCCTTCTCCAGGGGATCTTCCCAACCCAGGGATTGAACCTGCGTCTCCTGCGCTGGCAGGGGGTTCTTTACCACGGTGCCGCCTGGGAAGAGCCCTTCATTTTGGACTTCCTCCTCACTCGGGGCACCACAACACGTTCAGCTGAGCTCCCGAGTCTATGCAGTGCGCTCTCATTTGTTCTCTTCTTTATACAGGTTCCCGAGTCTATGCAGTACGCTCTCATTGGTTCTCTTCTTTATACAGGTTCCCGAGTCTATGCAGTACGCTCTCATTGGTTCTCTCCTTTGTGCGCAGCATCGATAATGCATGCCTGTCAGCCCACCCTTCCCGTTCAGCCCGCGGCCCCCTTCCCTGGTTGGCAGCCACGTGCTTATTCTGGACCTCTGTTGTAAACAGGACCATCGACACTGTTTCCCCAGATCCCACATAGATGTGTTAATAGACCGTATTTGGGTTTTTTCTTACTAACTTCACTCTGTCTGACATTCTCCAGGTCCACCCACATCTCTACAAGTGATCCAACTTCTGTCTTAGATCAATCAGACTCTACCACTCACTCCAAGCAACCAAGAATGTCTGTCTCTCTTCAAACCATGCCGATGTACACTGCAGCCTGTTACCAAGCTTACACACATTTAGAGAGAGCTCCCAGAGTCTAACAGATCCTCATGAACATCAGATTGCACAATGTTTGTTTGTTTGCAGAAAGGACGCAGAGCTTTGATCAATATAATTGAGTGGGCAGGCAGAGAAAGAGCGCTCTGCCATTAGTGCCTGGATGCCTGATGGGATAAAGCCAAGTGACATAGGCACGGAATAACAGAAAGCACGTGAATCAAGGCAGACTAACAGGATTGTGTACTTATGAGGAATTATTTCCTTTTATTCAGATTTTGTTTAATGTTGTTGGTATACTTATTTTCAATAGCAATCATTTAATATAAACTGGTGATAGAACTTAGATCTTCTTTTACTCACTTCTATTCTTTCTTCCCTGGTGGCTCAGGGGTAAAGAATCCACCTGCGATGCAGGAGACACGGGTCTGATCTCTGGGTTGGGAAGATCCCCTGGAGGAGGAAATGGCAACCCCACTCCGGTACTCTTGCCTGGAAAATCCCACGGACAGAGAAGCCTGGTGAGCTACAGTCCGTGGGGTTGCAAAGAGTCAGACACGATGAGTGACTGAGCACACACATGTGGTGCTAGAATTTAGACTTTTCCTTTATTCACCTCTATTTTTTAAATAGTCTTCTTGTTTAATTAAAAGAAAGTATACAAATCCTAAGTGAACAGCTTGATGGATTCTTATCAAGAGTACACACTCAAGTGACCACCACTTGAGTTAGGAGCTAGGATATCTCAGAATATCCCCATAAGGGCATCTCAGAGCCCCATCACACCTCCTCTCAAGTCGCATTGCAGCCCCTTCTTTGGTAACTGCTATTTTGATTTTTATCACCATGTATTAATCTGTTAAACTTTTATGTTTTAAAATTCATTCATATGATTCACTTAGTCTATTATTTATTTCTATCGCTACACAGTATTGCATTGTCCTGAGAAGTGAGATTTCCTGCCTCAACATGAACTTAACTAATGGGACTGATTGCTGAGACCACCCAGTGTCAATATAACAAGGAAGATACAATAGCAGATCAATAAATTATGTTACTATTTATTTCAGGAAATTTTTTGCTAACCAATTAATAAGTGAACAGTTTTTCTGTCTAGGTAAACAACTCACTTAACCAAGACAATGGTTTTATTTTTTGAAAACTCACCTGCAGAATGTCACCACTCCTAATATATGGTTTCATGAACTTGACACAATCCTAACCAGTTCTCTACCTTGAAAGACCTGCCATTAATCTTGTGAGCCCAGAATTCCAAACCCTAAAAACACTCTTCCCTAATTCCTGCATTACAAAGACTGTAAGCTTTGCTTGATCAACAGTTTTTCCTGGTAGTCTTTGTGAGGAGGTTGAAAATATGAGTACTTCACAGTTCATATACCCATCCTTATGCTGATGGACATTTGGGTATCTTCAGTTTGAGACTGTTATGAATATTAGTGTATTTTGATGCACATATATACACACTTGGCATTAGAATTGCTGAGTCATCAGTGAGTGTATGTTCAATTTTACTGCATTTAATAGTTTCCAAAGCGATTGCACCAGCTGATACTTCACCAACAGTGTATGAGAATTTCAGTGCTGCACACTCCCACGCATATGTTAATACTGTCTGTCTTCAATCTCAGTCATTCTGGTGGGTGTGTGGTGGGACTCCTGGCAAAGTCTTCTCCCTTCTGTACGGTGCCCGACACAGGTCATTACGTATGCTGGGTTTCCTTCTCAGCCTTTCCAATAGGCTAAAGATGCTAAACAGTCTCTGAGATTGCTATGAAGCTTTGACTTGGGGTGCCATAGTGTTAATTCTGTGTATGCCCATATGCAGGCTGGGTGTAAAATTAACCGTGTGGAGAGCTGGACCATAAAGAAGGCTGAGCACCAAAAAACTGATGCTTTTGA